GTCAAAACCAGTTTTTGACCTCTTTATTCCAAATCTCATCTTTTAAGACCTAGCTTCTAAAGTCTTTTCTTTTAGAACTTTGTTGACATATCCTTCCTATGTATTTTACATCTATTCTAAACTATGTTTTGAAGTATGGTATAATGGACTTTATCTTGGCGTAGATAGGTATGGGCTTACGTCTTGATTTGGCCACTTACTAGCTTATTTTTAAGCTTATATTAATCTTTCTAAGCTACAGTTTCTTTATTTATAAAATTTAAATAATTATGTACTGTGGTGATTATATTTTTGAGTCAGCTTGGCTGGGCCTGGTTGAGTGGCTGGGCAGCTGTTGATAGTATTCCCCATGATGAGACTGGAAATCAACTCCATGGTGGAATCTACTTTGAGCCGCTGAGTAGCTACCTTAGGGATATGGTCTCCTTCCTGTATATAAGGAGAAGCCTTGGGAACAGTCTCTAGCATATGGCACGCTTGAACCCTCCATGTAGCCGTGTCGTTGTTCAGCAGCCTGCCATGCTCTGCCGCCCTTGGGACTTTCAATGGACTTGAATTAATGGCCTGCTGTGTGGTTTGGTAGGTAGCCTCAGGACTGTGCCTTTTTATTTGTCGACCTTGGGCTTGTTAGCCTCAACAGCCAGTAGCTGAGTGAAGATATGCCTCTAGCTTCAATGGGCCAGGAGCAAGAGGCAGAGCTGAACCCCAAGATCATGGGGCTTTCACACAGCCCCTAGAGCCTGGCTCTTGGAACTTGGATTTAAAGCCTTCAATTGCAAGAGAATAAACTCCTGTTTGTAAAGGCCATTCCATTTGTGGTACATTCCTGTCAGAGTGGCACTAGATAACCAGAACACGTGCATACCTTTAATTTTTCCCCCCAAACTTTTTATTGTGACTTGGGTGAAATTTTATAAAGCATGTTCATTTTACATTCAACAGTTCGTACGTATTTTGTGACTGATTACAATCCCCATAATGTAATGGCTTTCCTCCTGCTTTCCCTGTGTCCTTCCCATTTAGGCATTTCTGCTTTCTGGTAGCATAGTGCCTAAGGCACTTGACTGCTAACCAGCAGGCTAGCGGTTCAAACCCACCAGCCACTCCTCGGAAGGAAGGTTGGGCAATCCTACTTCCGTAGTGACACTGCCTCGAAAACCCAAGGAGGGGTCGCTATGGGTCAGGGCTGACTCGATGGCAAATAACAACAACAACAACAACAAGCTTTCTCCTTATGCAAATGCTTCCCTTCTGATCTCTCGTGGTTGATTGTTCTAAGAAGTGCATCTCCCTGGTGTAGTTGTTCATCTTCTCGGCCTGTCTGTTGTTTAACTGAAAGCCACAGGAGTGAGTCCAGTTTTAGGTCCAAACACACACACACACACACACACACAGAGACACACACACACACACTGTTGTCAGAGTAACACAAGGTGATGTTCTATAAAGTCTGGTAGCACTTAGTATTAGGTTTGGTTGTGTTTAAACAAAAACCCAGAATAGTGTTTTTAACAAAGTTTTAGCTTATTCTTCTCTTACGTAAAAGAAGTTTAGAGCATGGTTTTAAACTGATTCTTCCTGGTTCTATGATGGCCAACAAAGCGAAACCAGAATGGACCCCGAATTTTAAACTGTGGGTGAACTGGAATGGTAACTGGAATGGGAGAAATTACTGGTCACTGCCCTGCTAGAAAGATAATCTCCCTCTTAGAAAAGAAGGGCAGTGTGTGTGTGTTGCATAGCAACCAAATCACTTGATTGGCAGAGTTAGAAACAATGGTGACTAGCTGAAAGATGGCAGCTGACTCCACTGCTTTGAAATGTGTGTCATTCTCTACAACCCTGGCAATACACCAACTCATCACTTACTGAAATGGTTAGGTTCCAAAGACCAGGTCATTATGCACAAATTGGCATTATGCAAAAATGGAGGATGACCATGTCAGATCACAAGATGGAGGATAGCTATATCATTACATAACTACCAAATCACTGAGAATCATGGCCCAGCCAAGCTGACACATAACCTTAACCATCTCATTCACCACTACTCTGGCCTTTCGTCTTGGTATTTTTTACTGCCAGACATGTATCGTTAGTGCACAAAATAGTTAGATCTTTTATTACTGTCATAAATGTCAAATGTTGACATCAAGATAATCGATATGTGAGGAGTAGGTGTAATCCAATCTCCCACATCAAGCTCCTGGAAGGGCTCATTATACCTCTTTTGAGTCTCCCATTCCAGGAATTATCTTGTAATTTTTCCTGTTCTATCATTCTGCTTCACCTGAATTTTAAAAATTTGAGTCTGTTCCAATTTCACTTTGTTGGCCATGACTGAACTGGTTTGAAGCCAGATCTGGAGGTAGGTCATCCAGGACTGGTACTGAGATTAAGGCTTTCTCTATCTTTCTGTTCTCCCATTCTAATGAATGACTTGTATCTCAAGATGACCAATGGTCCAGCATGGGTGCTAAGACCTCCAACTATCATAGTTGCATTCCATGCAACAAAAGGAATAATAGAGGGTCTGCTTTTTAGTTTTATCAACTTCCTTTAACTAGCCTTCCTGGAAGTCCCTAAGAGCTTGTCTGCTTAGAATCTTGCTAGCTAGAACTTAGTCATGTGACTACACCTTGCTAAAGAGAGGCTTAGTATTTTTTGTTGTGAAAGTGTAAACTCTTAGTTGGATATGTTGCTGCATCAAATAAAATCAGTGTTCTGTTGATAAGGAAGAAGAAGATAATGACTACTGGGTGACTATCAGCAGTCTTGGTTTTCGGTACCTATCATGGTGCTTGGCACATAGTGAAGCTTGACAAATACATACTCTTTAGGCCTTTATCCTTTTTGTTATGTTTAAAGTCAGTTTAGCTCTTAATTCTTCTTTGCTTCATATATATCTTCTTTTTCCAGCTGTGCAGTTAAGGTCCACCACACTTCTATATTGGATCAGTAATGGAAACTTTCTACATATTTGTTAACTAATTGAATTTATTTCCTTTAGAGTCACATTTCTAGTAGCCTTTTAATTGATTTCCCCCACTTTCTGGGTATTTAATACTTTTCCTTCAACTACAAGGAGCTCTGTTAACATAGTGCTTGAGGCATCTGACTGCTAACTGGAAGACTGGTGGTTCAAACCCACCAGCCGCTCTGCAGAAGCAAGACTGGGCAATCTATTTCCATAAGAATTTACCGCCTCGGAAACCCAGTGGGGGTCACTATGAGTCAGAAGTGACTCGACGACAGTGGGTTTGGTTTTTTTGGTTTCAACTACAAACCAGCCGCTGTTGTGAAAGGATATATTGAGGATTTTTGTTCCTTTAGTAATTTTCTGGTTTTTTTTTTTTTAAATGCTCTAAAAGTTACATTGTAGAGTTGATAATTTAACATTTTATCATTCTTTGATTAATGTATCTTTTTTAAAAAAGTTTTTCTCCACCTAGTGCTTCAGGATAAATTCCCCAAATGGAACCTAAACAATAATGCATTATGTATATGTTACATACATCTATTATACATGTTGTTGTTGTTGTTATGTGCCTTTGAGTCGGACCCGACTCATAGCGACCCCTCTTTGGGTTTCCGAGGCAGTATCACTACGGAAGTAGGATTGCCCAACCTTCCTTCCGAGGAGTGGCTGGTGGGTTTGAACCGCCAGTCTATTACACATAGATCTCTAATATTCCTGCTAAGAATATATAGGGTATGAGTTTTTCAAAATGCTGTGTTTGGAAAGGCATTGAGAAATTAATGTTTTCTCTGTGCATATTTAACTCACTAATTGCTTTGTCAGGAAGCTCAATAATTTAAAAAAGCTTAGGGCACATTTCTTAGCCAAATTATTCTTGAGGTCTTGGTTATTTTTCTTTTTCTCCCAACTATGGATAAGAGTTAGGACACAGGAAACTCTCTCTTTTCAAGAAGATAAAGAAATAATAGTAGTACCAGAAATGTCTTTCCTTGCTAATTGGCCCAGACTTTATGTAAAAAATAGGGTCTTCTAGTTTTAAAGTGTCTTGAGATATAAGAGTTTATGTGGGTTCTCTATATTCCACTTTGGAACTTGCTGAGCAGAATATTTTAAACATACCCTTTGTTCTCCTCACATGTATTCCTTCAGAGGTGTATACATCATTAGTATATGAATATAAAAATGTAATACCATTTCTTTCATACCTCCACCACCATTTTTAAATATTTTCATGTATACTGAAACATGCATATATCTTATTATAAATACATATTCAGATGTTGAGAAATATAGACAAGTACGCTACTCCAGATTTCTTGGAACGAAGTGAGGTATAAATAAATACAGTAAAAACTTCTATGTCATCTAGTTATGTGCACTCAAAAATAGTACATAAGTAAACACATGAATGGTTATTTGATTTGATGTTTAGGTAGAATAGTAATTGGTGGGAAAGATACTCATCAGTAAAGTAAATAAAATGATTATGCATATTTGACTCACTAATTTATTGGTCAGGAAGCTCAACAGTTTGCAAAAAGCTTAGATCACAGTTCTTTGAAAAGTTGTTTTTGAGCTGCTGGTATTTTTTTCTTTTCTGCCCAACAGTAGATGAGAAGAAGGAGCTCTGGTGGTGCTGTGGTTAGAGCATTGGGCTGTTAACCAAAAGGCTGGTGATTCAAACCCACCAGTTGCTCCATGGGACGAAGTTGAGGCAGTGTGCTTTCATAAAGATTTATAGCCTTGGAAACCCTCAGTGGAAGTTTTATTCTGTCCTATAGTATAGGGTCACTATGAGTCAGAATCGACTCAATGTCAACGGGCAGGTAGATGAGAAGAAAGGAATAACTGACTGGACATATAAACAACAATGCTAATAAAACTAAGAATAGTTCTAATGTTAACTCAAAATCATAATACCTTAATGATATTTTTTAACTGGTATAACCAATGACATATAGCCATTTATTTAAAAACTGATGTTTCTTTATAGTTTGACTTTTTGGTTTTGTTCTCATAGATGTTTTCTCCCAGATGTCAGATTCCAATGGCTTATTGATATTTAGCAAGTTTGACCAGTTTCTGAAGGAAGTTCTGAAGCTCCCAACAGCTGTCTTTGAAGGGCCATCATTTGGTTACACAGAGCACTCAGTCCGCACCTGTTTTCCACAGCAGGTAAGGACAGTTTTATAGACTTTAGGACTAGAATAGACCTCATTCATCCTTCTACCTTTTACTAGATTTCACCACATTAGATTCCAGTCTAAGAATATAGGTCTTGAGTAGGGGAGGAGATAGAGCTTTAAAACTGGGAGGTTGAACAAAAAAGGGGGAGGGAAAATATAAATTTACCCAAGAACTCTTTTTTCGGGGGAGGAGGTCTGCTCTGAAAATCAGGATAACATTTGAAATACTTTACTGAAATTTTAAAGAAAAATGCTTAAGATGTAGTGTTTATATTATTGCTACCAGGCATATATCACTTTCCCAAGTGAGTTTTTATAACTGAAATACAGGCAGTTTGATATTAAACTTTATAATTATTTACTGAGCTCTGAAGACAAAGAGTGCCGTACAGCCTTCAGTTACATCCCTCAGCAATACATTGCCATTTTCATATGAAAGAAAATGGGTTTGGTTTCTTGTTTATTTGTGGGTTTCTTTTTGTGGTCTTGACCTAGAGGTTGGTATGAATATATTCCTTTGATCTTAACTGGGCTTCAAAGAATTGGGAGCAAAGTGGACTCTGGCTGTAACATTTGTATGTTTAGGTAGAAGTTAGATAAAAGGAGTTTACTGTTAAACTTACTTAGAAAGTTTTGGAAAGTGTGGAAAAAAAAATCTGTGGTATAATTAATGGGTAAATGATGAATAAGAAACAGTGTATTAATGTAGTCTGAAAGTTTCTCTATATACAACAATACTTATTAATTACAAAGGAAGCATGGTAACTTTACAGTGGAGAGACCTGTGGGATACTCCCAGAGCCAAGTGATCGAAGTCCACATCACCAATAATGGAATACACTGATTTCACAGGCCTCCTGGTAAGATGCATTGGAAGTACACAGTATCACTTCTGTGGTGCTCCTGCTAAAAATGCATAAGCTGAAGCTAATCTTGAGGAGACATCAAATACACCCCCACGTGAAGGTGTTTCTACAGTATAACTAACCTGTATGCTTCAAAAGGGTCTGTGGGTGGCACAAATGGTTCAAACCCATCCAGAGGCACCTTGTAAGAAAGGCCTAGTGATCTGCTTCTGTAAAGATTACAGCCAAGAATGGCCAGACATTGTCACTCATACTTTGGTCATGTTGTCAGAAGGGAGAAGGATGTCACTGGAGGAGGATATCATGCTGGGTAGAGTGGAGGGGTCAGCGAAAAAGGGGAAGACCCTCGATGAGATGGATTGACAGTGACTACAGTGATGGGCTTAAGCATAGCAGGGATAATGGATGGCGCAGGACAGGGTGTTGTTTCATTCTGTTGCACACAGGATCACTGTAAGTGGGGACCAATTGACAGCAGCTAACAACAACAGTAAGCATAAGAGGAGCCCTGATGGCACAGTTGTTAAAGTGCTCAAGTGTTAACTGAAAGGTCAGCAGTTCAAATCCAACAGCCACTCTATGGGACAAGGATGTGGCAGCCTGCTTTTGTAAAGATTTACAGCCTTGGAAACCCTATAGGGCAGTTCTAGTCTGTGTTACAGAGTCACTGTGAATCAGAACTGACTCAACAGCATTGACTTTGGTTTTTGGTTTAAATGTATCCTGGTCCAATAATGTTCTGCAAGTATTGAAATGCCCTTCAGAGATTTAAGTGAGGATACATATGACGTGGAAACGATGAATGACTCTCTTTCATTTTCATTCCATATTCGTCTCTGCTGCTGCTGCTGCTGCTATAGTGGTAGCATCATCTCAAACGGTTGTCCATACTGTACTCTGGAATAGTCTTGTATGTATATGTGGCTTTTCATACAAGATGTTACCTGGAAGTCAGGCTAAAATACATTCAAGTTTTGGAATGCTGCTACTAAGTAAAATAGTGTCCAAATGGGAAATAGAGTATATACAAAGACGTTTCAGTGAAGAGCATCTCATGATACTTGACAATGGATCACAGTTATGTGGAATATTAAACCTAATATAATCTTTGATTTAATTGTAATATAACTGCTTTAATGAGACCTCAATGTTAGAATAACAGTTTAAAATGTTGAATAATGTATGTAAAAAAATCTTATTGTTCATTCTAAGGATGCTGTCTAGGATTCTGCAGGTTATTCTATGATATGACTGAGGCCTTTGAACTCCTAAGCTGCCTGTTGCTTTTCACCTGGCTCAGATTTCTGAAAAATAAGCTGGTGTTTTGATATATGCTATAGGAGCTCTGGTAATATAGTGCCTAAGGCACTTGACTGCTAACCAGAAGGCTGGCGGTTCAAACCCACCAGCCACTCCTCGGAAGGAAGGTTGGGCATTCCTACTTCTGTAGTGATACTGCCTCGGAAACCCAAGGAGGGGTCGCTATGAGTTGGGGTCAACTCGATGGCAAATAACAAACAAAACAAAAATGGGAGAGTCAGAGGAGCTGTCTCAGCCTAGAGGGAACTTAAGTTTTGTTACGTCCATGAACAAGATAAAAAAGCCTTGGAAGAAATACGAAGTACTGATGTAGTGACCTGAAAATGAGACTGTTTGAACATAGTTTCAAAATCAAGCAATAATTAAATTTAATGAGGTTAAAGTTTCTTTTTGAAAATGAGCTTTTCCCATATAGTTTGCCCATAGTATGCATTTCTCTAACGTGAATGAGCTGACACATGATCAAGTGGGAGGAATGATGTGGATGGATGTAATGTGGAAACTGGGTTGGTTCATGTGCAGTTTTCCCAGCATATTGATCTCTTGGGCTGAACAAAGTAGTGATCATAATCAAAGAGAAAATACGATTATTTTAAGAAAAAAATGGAAAATCCTGCAGAAAGACCTTCCTATAGTGAAAGAAGTTGCTGATTTAGAGGATGCATGAACTGCTTCACTTTCTACAATGTTATGGTGATAACACTGTGAATATAGATGGAAAAGTTATGAAGACATTTCTCCCTCTGTTTAAATAAAAGAAGAAAGAAAGAAAAGAAAAGATTGATCATGTTAAGCTATCCAGCCTGGATCTGATTTTTAATTTTGATGAAACTGCTCTGTCTTGGAAGTTGTACTGCCTCAAAGACGCTTATCGTGAAGAAGGAAGAAGTGCCCCAAGATTTAAAGCTGAAAGGGCTAATATCTGACAATCTCATGGTACAAATGCCCATGAAGATTTGTGGTGCTGGTATTATTAGTATTGTAATTGTTTTGGTAGTTCTCAGTTTACAGAGCTGTAAAGGTTTTAGTGGTTTGTTTTTACCTTGTTTTTCTCATATGCCTTATTTTAATTCTGCAGTTTTGCACATTGCACAGTTTTTCAAGAATGCCTGTGTTGTGTTATAGCAAAAATGATTTTTGTAATAATATGCAGGGAACTGCATAGTTGTATATTTTAATGTAGTTTTAATTCTAATTCTCTTCTAAAAAGTAGCTTCTGCCTGCTTTTCACAAACTAACCCAAAATAAGCGACAGTTTTTTGGTTTTTTTGGGGGGGTAATTCAGTTTTTAGGAACAAAACAAAAAGTAAAAGCATTTTTAAATTAATTCAACAGAAGACATCTACCAGAATAGCTAAAATTCAGTGATTGACACATCAGATGTTGAAGAAGATGTGGGTCAAGCACAGCATTTATATATTATCAGAGTATGAAATGGTACAGTCTTTTGGAGGAACAGTTGTTTCTTATAAATCAAAACAGACCAATGGCCTAGCAATTCCGCTCTAAGTATTTACCTAAGAGAAATGAAAACTATTATAAAGTGTCTTATAGATGAATACTGACAACACAATCAGAGAGGGACAAATATTGTATTAGTTCATTGTTGTAAAAAGTCAAGGGAAGGTTTGTATGTGGAAAGAAACTTTCTTTGTTGGTTACTGGGGCAGGGGAGGGGAGGGGAGGAAACACTGCAAAAATTATAAAAAAAAAAAAAAAAAAAAATACTGACAACAGCTTTATTCATAATAGCCCCAAACTTGGAAGCAGCTAGGTGTCTGTCATAATAAAATGTTGGAGTAAAGGTTATCCCAAGAGATAATAGGTATGAAATTTGCTTCAAGATAACCCATTTTGGAGAGAGCATGGAGGCAGAGTGGCAGTTAGCCAGGTGTTGAGCATAGTGAGGCTGGATGAAGAGGCATGTTATATTATTCTCTCTATTTCAGTATATTTTTTAAGAATTTAGGAACAGAAAAAGTAATCCTGGTGGTAAATTTGTGTTTGTGATTACTATCTGAACAAAATACAGTGTTAATGTAGTTCTCTAAGCATAATCTTTTGGTGAGTACACCAGATATATTAATATTGCTTTACATTTATTTGTTAACTACCAAATTGACTTTAAAGGCATCAAACTTATTAAAAAATAACTGAATATATTCAAATTCTCCCTTTTTCTCTTTTTTCCCCAAACTTCAGAGTTTTAGAAATATTTCTCTTTAGAAAGATGATTGCTATTTGTTTTATTATTCATTTTCTAAGTCTTCATATTTAGTTTGAAGAATTTAACCCAACCTGGAGGGAATTTTAAATTTGATACTTTAAATTTATATGAAAAGAAAACTTGGGGGAGGGGGAAGCTGTTAGAGAGTGAGATGGGAAAGAGATGCATTCTTTCAGTCAGCATATCCAGGAGATACTGTTGATAACACTCTATTAGATGCTATTTCATATTTTTCCTTGAGTCAAAGGAGGTGGTGAGTAGGAATATGTAATATGATTACACTGTTGCTGATGGATTTTCAGACTAACAAGAATATTTCATGTCTGATTACACTTTGCCCAGCATAAGACCTGTAGCTGTATCCCAAAATGACTTTTCTTACGGCTTTATCTTTGAGGGAAGATGTTTTTTGGATATTCTGACCTTGTTTTCCTGCACTACAAATAAAGTTTGGCAAGAATAGCCAGGCACTTGTATGGGTATATTCATAGGAAGTCTAGTTAGGGAGATTTTAAGGTCTCCATTAAGAAGCTAATTGTCTCACCACAGCATTAATAACAAAGTTCAAAAAACGTA